TCTGTCTCACTGGATCTACAGTAATATTCTAACATTCAAAGTACATCACAGCCTGAGGAGCTGTGCAGTGTCTGTGGAACAAGCCAGTAAGGAGTTCCCGAGGTACCAGCTGAACCAAGTAAGTGTCAGTCTTTTGAAGTCTCTTGATTCTAAGACCAAGACAGCTGTACTCACAGCACCTTATAAATGGCCGGTACCATAGTTGTTGAATAAATAAACATCCTATTAACCAGTGGTTCTCAAACTTGGATGCTCATCAGAACCCTCTGAGCTTACAGGTCATGATCTCACAGTCTGTGGGTTCGAACCCCGCGTCGGGCTCTGTCCTGACAGCTCGGAGCCTGGGGCCTGCTTCGGATTCTGTGTCTCCCTCTCTCTCTGCCCCTCCCCTGCTCTCTCTCAAAAACAAAACATTAAAGAAAAAATTTTAAATAAATAAAAGAACCCTCTGAGCTTACATAAAAATGGGAGATTCCTGGCGGGCCACTCCACTCACAGGCACGGAATCTGAATCTCCAAGTGTGAGGCCAGGGACCTATCTTCTTCACCCCTGCCTAATTAAATACGTGAGGCTGCTTAATGGATCGGTACAGGGAAACCTGCTTTATACAAATCCAGGTGTTCACCAGTTTCACTCGACCTATACCCCAGCATGAAAGCACTCTGCTAGGCGCCCTGGGGAATAAAGATCAACCAAGACTGCGTGCTGCTAAAAGGCCTAAGAGCAAGTGGGCAGGCACGCGGAGCCGTGTGGATTCCTCTACCTCCCACATCGCCCTCTGCCCCTCTCTCTGCCACTGGCCCCCCCTTGTACTGAGCTGAAGAGGCTGAAATTGTGTGAGGAACTGGGCGCGGTCTGCGTAAGTAACAGCCAAACAGTTCTGAAACTTTGTGAAAGATACAAATGTACACATTCAAGAGGCTCAGCCAACCCCAAGAAAGAGAAATGCAAAGAAAGTGACATCTGGACACTTGCTGGTCAACTGCTGAAAAACAAAGACAAAACAAAACAAAACAAACAAAAAACCCCCAAACAACTGAAAAGTAGCCAAAGAGAAAGACATCACATAAACAGTTCATGTTACCACTGCCTTCTCATTAAGAACAAAAAAGACCAAAAGAGAGTAGTGATACATCTGAAGTGTTTAAAGAGAAAAACCATAAATCCAGAATTCTATAACCAGGGGAAACATCCTTCTCTATAGAATGAGGGTAGGGTCGCCTAGCTGGCTCAGCCAGTGGAGCCTGCGGCTCTTGAACTTGGGGTTGTGTGTTCACACTGGGCATAGAGCCTACCTTTAAAAACACAAAACAGGGGCACCTGGGTGGCCCAGTCGGTTGAGCGTCCGACTTTGGCTCAGGTCATGATCTCGCAGGTCCATGAGTTTGAGCCCCGCGTTGGACTCTGCTGACAGCTCAGAGCCTGGAACCTGTTTCAGATTCTGTGTCTCCCTCTCTCCCTGCCCCTCCCCTGCTTGTGCTCTGTCTCTCTCAAAAATAAATAAAACTTACAAAAAAAAAATGGGGTGCCTGGGTGGCTCAGTTGGTTAAGCATCCGACTTCGGCTCAGGTCATGATCTTGCGGTTTGTGAGTTCAAGCCCCACGTTGGGCTCTGTGCTGACAGCCTGGAGCCTGCTTCTGATTCTACGTCTCCCTCTCTCTCTGCCCCTCCCCTGTTCACAGTCTGTCTCTCTCTCTCTCTCAATAATAAATAAGCATTAAAAAATTAAATAAAAATAACAACAACAACAAAAAACAACTACAAAACAGGGGCACCAGGGTGGCTCAATCGGTTAAGTGTCCTGACTTTTCAGCTCAGGTTATGATCTCATGGTCTGTGGGACCGAGCCCCGCGACAGCTCTTTGCTGACAGTGCGGAGCCTGCTTGGGACTCTCTGTCTCCCTCTCTTGGCCCCTCCCCAGCTCGTGTGTGCACACATGCTGCTATAATACTCTCTCTCTTTCAAAGTAAATAAACATTAAAAAAAAAAGAGGGGTACCTGGGTCACTCAGTTGATTAAGCATCCAACTTCAGCTCAGGTCGTGATCTCACGGTTTGAGTTCAAGCGCAGCATCGGGCTCTGCACTATTCAGAGCCTGCTTGGGATTCTCTCTGCCCTACCTCTCTCCACACACTGTCTGTCTGTCTGTCTGTCTGTCTGTCTCTCTCAAAATAAATAAATTCAAAGAAGAGAGAGAGAGAGAGAGAGAGACCTGGTTGGCTCAGTATGTTAAGCATCTGACTCTTGGTTTCAGCTCAGGTCATGATCTCACAGTTCGTAAATTCCAGCCCTGCACTGGGCTCTGTGCTGGCGGTGTGGAACCTGCATGGGATTCTCAGTCTTTCCCTCTCTCTCTCTGCCTCTCCCCTGCGTGCACGCTCTCTCTCTCAAAATAAATAAACTTAAAAAACAGAGGGAAAGAAGGGTGCCTGGGTGGCTCAGTTGGTTGAGCGCCGACTTCAGCTCAGGTCATGATCTTACAGTTCGGGAGTTCGAGCCCCATGTCGGGCTCTGCGCTGACAGACAGGAGCCTGGAGCCTGCTTCAGATCCTGTGTCTCCCTCTCTTTCTGCCCCTCCCCCACTCATGCTCTATCTTTCCCTCTCTCTCAAAAACAAAAAACATTTAAAAAAAAGGGGGGAAAGAGAATAAAAGTGAAATAAAAAATTTTTCAGAGAAAAGAAAAGTAAAACAACATGTCAGCAGATCTGCACTACAAAAAATGCTACAGAAAGTTCTTCAGGTTAAAGGGAAGTGATACCAGACAGAAACTGGATATCCAGGAACGAATGGAGAGCGCTGGAAATGGTCAACAGAGAAGTTAATAGAAAGACAATTTTTTCCTTTTAATTTCTGTGAAACAAAAACCATAATACTGGATTAGGGGATTTCGAACGTATGTAAGTGCAACAGATACGACAACTAGAGTGTAAAGGCTGGATGAGAGGGTTGCAAAGTTCTTCCATTTCACATGAAGGAGGCTGTAAAAGCTGATGATGTAATCCCTAGAGGAGCCACTTAAGAAAACAGGAAAAAGAAAAAGCAAATAGTAAAATGGTAGAAATCCAACCTTGTCAAAAATTACACTAGTTTTATGGAATCACAAAAGACCCTGAATAGCCAGAGCAATCTTGAGAAAGAACAAAGCCGGAGATATCACACTCCCTGATTTCAAACTACACTACAAAACATTAGTAATCAGGGGTGCCTGGGTGGCTCAGTCGGTTAAGTGTCCAACTCACGGTATCGGCTCAAGTCATGATCTCATGATCTCATGGTTCATGGGTTCAAGCCCCATGTCGGGCTCCACGCTGATGGTGCAGAGCCTGCTTGGGATTCTCTCCCTCCCTCTCTCTCTAGCCCTCCCCTACTTGCGCACACGCTCTCTCTCTCAAAATAAACAGTAAAAAAGAAAAAGAAAAAAAAACTGTAGTAACTAATACTGGCACAAATGCAGACACAAAGATCAACGGAACATGAGAGAGAGCCCAGGAATACATCCACCCATGTAACATCAATTGATCTACAATAAAGGAGATAAGACTATACAATGGGTAACTGTCAGGCAATCACTTCAATAAATGGTGTTGGGAAAACTGGACAGTTCCATGCAAAAGAATGAAACTGGACCACTTTCTTACACCATACACAAAAAGAAACTCAAAATGGATTAAAGACTTGAATGTCAGACCTGAAACCATAAAACTCCTAGAAGAAACCATAGGTGGTAGACTCCTTGATGTCACTTAGTGCGATGTGTTTTGGACCCGACGTCGCAGGCAAGGGCAACAAAAGCATAAACAACAAATGGGAGTACAACCAAACTAAAGAGTTTTTGCACGACAAAGAAAATGATCGGCAAAGTTCGTTTCTACTGCGAGGGAGAAAAGTTTGCAAGTCATATATCTGATTAAGGGGCCAATATCTAAAATAGAGAACGACCTTATACAACTCAACAGCAAGAACTCCATAAACAATCCAATTAAAACATGGGCAGAGTCCAAGTAGATGTTTTTCCAGCGAAGACATCCAGATGACCAACAAGCACATGAAAAGATGCTCAACATCACTCATCAGCATGCAAACCAGAACCACAATGAGATACATGACTTCCTACCTGTCAGAATGGTTAAAAAAAAACAAAAGAAAGAAAGAACAAGTGTCGGCGAGGATGTGGAGAAAAGAAACCCTTGTGCACAGTTGGTAGAAATGTAAACTGATACAGAGATCACAGGAAACAGCAAGAAGATTCCTCAGAAAATTAAAAATAGGGGCGCTTGGGTGGCTCCACCAGTTAAGCGTCCGACTCAACTTCAGCCCAGGTCATGATCTCACGGTTTGTGGGTTTGAGCCCCGTATTGGGATCTGTACCAATAGTGCAGAGCCTGATTGGGATTCTCTCTCTCCCTCTGCCCACTACCCTCTCAAAATAAATAAATAAACTGAAAAAAAAAAAAAAGAAAAATAGAACTACCATACAATCCAGTAATTCTACTGGGTGTTTATCCAAAAAAAACCAACAAAAAAAGCCCTCCAAAAACCACTAACTCAAAACGATACACGCACCCCTATGTTCACTGGAGCATTATTTACAACAGCCAAGATACGGAAGAACCCTAAGAGTCCATCGATAGGTAACTACTCAGTCACTTTCTTAACACGTCATCCTGTTATAATTCTCCCTGTAGACCTTATCACTATCCGGAAATTTGTCAATTCTTTTGAACAGCTGTCCTCACCTGCCCAATTGACTTTTGTTACCTATGCTATGGAGACTCCACGGTCTTACTCATCGCTACATCACCAACACCTAGAACGTCGCCGAGCATGAAACAGGTGCTCAGTAAACACTTGTTGAATGGATGGACTTGGCCCTGTGGGTGGGCCAGATTTACTCTACTCTTCCAAAGGGCATCAAGTTGTCCCGGGGGAGCTTTAGGATGCCACCCTATGGAGAGGAGAAGGTCCTTCTGTCTAGGGTGAAAGAGAGACTCTCACCTCTGAATGGTCTCTTCCTGCTCCTTAACCATGTGTGCCAACTGCTGAAAGATGGAGCCCAGCTCGACAATCGTGGACTCAATGTTCTGCATGGTGTCTGCCCGGCTCTGGATGTAGGAATCCTTCAGAGGAGAGAGAGCACACGTGAGCACTGGGAGCTTCCTCAGGGTAGAGCCTGCCTCTTTAGGACTGTCCCCGCTTGCCATTCCACGCAAGGCACATTTCAGCCCTTGCTGGTGGCCCACAGGGGAGGACAAAGGAGCATCTCCTCCCCAGTTCAGAGCCCAGGTACCTGCTCATCAATGAGCTGCAGCTGCTGGCTGGTCCGAGAGTCCATCATGTCAATGGCCACATCCCCGGAGGCACGGGACTCCGCCCCCAAGACCACAGCACTGCCTCCTACGGAGAGAAAGGAAAAGCACTTCTTAGGTTCAAAGCCCACATGCTCTGGATGTGAATCCCAGCTCTGGCACTTAATAGCCTTGTGACCCTGGACAAATCATTTAACCTCTCTGAGCCTCGGCTTCCTCAACTGTAAAATGGGGGATAGTAACAACTGCTTTCCCAGAGGGGGGTGGTGACAAGTGAGAGAGGGGCGCCTGGGTAGCTCAGTTGATTGAGCATCCAACTTTGGCGCAGGTCATGATCTCACAGTTTGTGAGTTTGAGCCCTGCATCGGGCTCGCTGCTGTCAGCACAAAGCCTACTTCAGATACTTTGTCTCCTGCTCTCTCTGCCCCTCCCTGGCTTGTGCTCATCTCTCTCTCTCTCTCTCTCTCCCTCTCTCTCTCGCAAAAATAAACATTAAAAACAAAATTAAGTGAGAGAATGCGAATGAAGTAAGTGCACGAAAAGATTAGAAACCATCATCGTAGTGCATGTGACTGACGTCAGCCCCAAACACGAGAATGTGGTAGACTGAGTGTGGACCACGAATGCCAGCAATGAGGTTTGACCTCTGAAAATCCTAGCACATCCCTTGCTTGTCTGTTCTCCTACCCTACTGCTGCCATCACGGGATTAGAGGATGCCATCAGAGCCAGAGGAACTGGGTCTCTCCCCTCAAGGCTCCCCTCATCACCTATGACTTACCCAGGTGGTTGGGGGCAAGGGGCAGGGCTGACACAGGCGCCCGGGAGAACTGCTCCCGCCGGTTCCTCTGCTGCTTCAGGTTCTGGGGTTGGGGAAGAAATGCAAAGGTCCTGAGGCCTCTGGGAAGCAGGCATGTTAGAGGGGCCCTCTTGTTGGTCCTTGACCCTGTTACCTTCACCCCTCCACTTGTTCCTGCTCCATTTCTCCCTTGGGCCCTTAACCCCAAACTCCTACCCCTCCTACAGATTTTCCTTACCTCTGTCCTCACTTCTAAAACTGATTTGAAGTCATTGGACATCGAGGCCAGTTTCGACTAGAAGAAAAGGAGAGAGAGGATCAGCCAAGGAAGACAACACCTTTCTCCCTTCTGCCTCCCCCTCTACCAACCCCAGGTCCCACCTGCAGGGAGACCACGATGGTGTTGGAATGCGTTTGCAGGTGCCGGCCGCTCTGGCTGCCCTTGGCCCTCACAAAATCCTGAAGCTGGGCAATTTGTTTGTTGAGGCTATTGATGTCCTAGGGAAAGCCAACAGAAAAACTGTTAACAAAGGGTTCCTCAGCCAATGTCTCTCCCGCATGGACGGCTCTGACATGGAGGGCAGGGCGGAAGTTACAAATGGGAGGGAGGGTGCTTCAGAGTCAGACCAGAAGGGCCTGCTAGGATGTTCCAAGCCAGAAGAGGCGAAATATGGTCTCATCCATTTGTATACAAATTTTTTTTGAATGTTTATTTATTTTTGACAGAGAGAGAGACAGACAGAACATGAGTGGGGGAGGGGCAGAGAGAGAGGGAGACACAGAATTCTACGCAGGTTGCAGGCTTTGAGCTGTCAGCACAGAGCCCGATGCAGGGCTTGAACTCACGGACAGCGAGATCAGGACCTGAGCCAAAGTCGGATGCTCAACCGACTGAGCCACCCAGGCACCCCTGGTCTCATCCATTTGTAAATAAATGACTTGCTTACCCTCTTCGCCCTACGGCCCAACTCTACCCTGTGAGGCCAGGCACATGGCCACAGAACTGCTTCAAAGGCCAAAATCTCAAGCCCAGAGCACGCTGACTGACAAAGCACCTGTGCAGTAGGCAGGAGACGGGAAGTCAAAGTCTCCACGATGGCCCAGAAACATCAACAAAATGCCTTTTATACACAGAATTCTGTTAAAAAATTATTATTGCGGGCAGCCTGGGTGCCTCAGTTGGTTAAGCAGCGACCCTTGATCTTGGCTCAGGTCGTGATCTCACACTTCATGGGATGGAGCCCCACGTCAGGTTCTGTGCTGACAATGCAGAGCCTGCTTGGGATTTTGGGATTCTCTCTCTCTCTCTCTCTCTCTCTCTCTCTCTCTCTCTCTCCACCGCTTTCCCACTCATACACACACTCTTAACATAAATAAACATTAAAAAAATATTTTTATTGCAAAAGAGTGAAAGCTGTGACTTATCCGAGGTCACACATAAGGAGGTACCATAGCACAGCCAGGCCTTCTACACCAGACCAAGGCATCCTCTGCCCCCTGATCTGGCTTGGCAAGTTACCGAGGGCCACATGAGACAAGAGAGATGAAAGAGGTGGCCACAGAGTGGCAGAGAAAGCTTGCCCAGGGGGTTGGGGGTGGGGAGCCCAGGGAGAAGAGGTCAGGAATAGTGAGTTCAAGGAATAGGCTGGAAGACAAACTGGATTAGGCAACTTCTAGAATTTCTCCAATAGGCCCCAGGTAGTATTCCAGGTGCAACCATTCTTTTCTTTTTTATTTTTTTATAAGTCTATTTACTTATTCTGAGAGAGAGTGAGAGAGAGAGAATACCAAGCAGTCTCTGCACCAACACAGAGCCTGACGCGGGGCCCGAACTCACGAACCTCGCAATTGTGACCTGAGCTGTAAATCAAGGGTGAGACGCTTAACCAACTAAGCCACCCAGGTGTCCCCCTGCCCTACAGCAACCATTCCTGAGACCAATGGATGATTTTCACTGCTGGCTGGCTGTCTCTTCAGAGCTGATGCACCCTCCCTAGAGTCCCGTGGCCAAAACTGCATTCCAGGTTTTCTCCCCATAAAATCTCCTCCCCCAGAGTTCTAGCTTAGAAAACGGCACCACTTCCCACCGAAGTGCCCAACCAAGCTGGAAGCTTCTAAGTCACACATTCGTACCTCCTAAGCCCATCTATGTGCCACAACGCAGCCACACTCGGCTGATTGTTGACCAGGCACTCGGCACTTTATATTCGTCTACTGTGCGCCACACGGCACGCTACGTAGCTTATAACTTGCTCTTTGTGGTGAAACTTAACGTGGACGACAACTCCTAATCCCCCCACCTCCAACGAAAACCTGTTCCCCCTTCTCCCTCCTTTTCTGTTTTGGTAAATGGCACCGCCAGTCGCCAGCTGCCCAGACCAAACGCTGGAGAGCCGTCCTCCTCTCTTTTCCCTTGATCCACATGGAGCCTACACGGAGCCCACAGAGAACCCAGCCGATTCTAACAGATGCTCCGAATCGAGCCGCTCAGCTACTTCTCTCTAACCCTACTCTAGACCAAACCACCACCTTTGCTCTCTCAACTATAGCCAAGAGCCTCCTAAATGACCTTCCCCTTAAAGCCCCCCCGCAACAATCTGTTCTCTACACAGCAACCACGGTGAGCTTTTGAACCAGAAATGGAGCAGGTCCTCCCTCTGCTGAAAATCTTCCAAGAGCTTCCACTCAAGTTAGAACACAAACCAAATTCTTTGCGCAGCTTACACCTGACTCTGTGTGGTCCAGCCCTGCCCATTTCCCCAACCTCATCCCCTCCCAGTCTCCTTCTCACTTGCGCTGCTGCAGCCACACTGGCCTCTTTCATGTTTATCAGATGCATTAAGGTGGCCCACCCTTCAGGGCCTTTCCCTTTACTATTCCCATTTTCTGGAAAGTGCTCCCACCAGATCTTTACATAACTGGCTTTTCCTTTACCATTCAGGTCTCAAAGTCACTTCTCACAGACTATCCTTTCCTTTCCTTTTCTTTTCAATTTTATTTTAGAGAGAGAAAGAGAGTATGAGCAGGGGAAAGAAGCAGAGGGAGAGGAAGAAAGAGAGGATCTTTAAAAAAAATTTTTTTTTAATTTATTTTGAGAGAGTGGAGGAGGGGCAGAGAGGAGGTCAGAGGATCCAAAGCAGGCTCTGTGCTGACAGCAGAGAGCCTGACTTGAGACCCCGAACCCAAGAACTGTGAGATCCTGACCCGAGCCAAAATCAGATGCTCAACTGGCCTTTAGCCCAGGCGCCCCAGAAGAGGATCTTGAAAACACAGCCTCCCACGCTCAGCACAGAGCCTGACCTTGGGAAACCGTCCCGTGATCCTGGGATACGACGACTAATCAAGAGTCAGACGCTCATCCAACTGAGCCACCCAGGCGCCCCTCACAGATGATCTTATATCACCCCATCTAAAATAGGCCCCTACCCTGAGGAACTCACTTCCCTTATGTCTTTAATGGGATTCACTACCCTGAAGTCGTCTGACAAATTCTACTTGTCGAGTTCAGATAGAAATCCTCAGGGGAGAGTACCCCATCTGTCTTGTTAGAGTCCCAGAACCAGGCAGCATCAAAACTCACTCTCCAATCAAGTAGTCCAAAACAAACAACTGAATCCTCACATCCACCCTAGAGGTAGATTTTATTTTATCAACCCCCTCTTATTTCTTTTTTTTTTTTTTTTTCAGCGTTTATTTATTTTGGGACAGAGAACAGAGCATGAATGGGGGAGGGGTAAGGGGAAGGAGGAGGAGACATAGAATCGGGAAACAGGCTCCAGGGAAAAGCTCAGACCGTAGCCAGAGCCTGGCCGAACTCATGCTGAGCATCACAGACCCATGAGATGTTGACCTGGCTGAAGCTGAATGGCTTAATGACTGCGCCACCCAAAGCCCAGAGCCCTCTTCTTTCTGAGGGGCACTGGCTCAGGGTAGTCAGTCAGCTTACTAAAAATTTTTCCTTAACCAATAGACTGTCTGAGAACAGGCTGTGGTTCAGCTAAAAACTTAATAAGCGCCCCAATAGTTCATGTTATCCTCTCTCTTCTACCCCTGCATAGCACCTCTTGAACTGCACCATCTGCCCTGGCCTTTGTACCATCATCTTTTCATAGTTAGCGGCAGCGGCTCACTCTCCCTGGCCTCTCTGCTGCCTGCAATGTCATGCTCCAGGCTGGTATTTCCCAGTAGTCATTGATCAGCTCCAAATCACGGGAACACCTTTTCTACACCAGACACTATTATAGGCAACTGGGATGCATCTATGAGCAAGATGAAAAAAATAGCAAGAAAAAAGCTCTCCGCTCTTGTAGCACCCCATATTTTTCTCTTTCTTTTTTTTTTTTTTTTTTTTTTTTGGTTGGGGCTGGTGAGGTAGATGAAGAGAAGGGAGCAGTATAATAGGTAAGTGGTAGTAAGCCTGGTGTTGGCAGTGGTTAATCCGACTTTACGGGATTCCCGACTCAGGAGTCACGATCTCTGCAGCCCGTGAGTTAGAGCCGCGATAGAGACTCTGTGCCCGGTACCATCTCGAGCCTGCAGCCTGTTTCCAGGTGCAACTGTCTCCCTGCCTCTGCCCCTCTGTTCATGCTCTGTCTCTCTCTGTCTCAAAAATAAATAAACGTTGAAAAAAAAATTTTTTTAAATAAATAAATAAAATAAACGTAAGTGAGTTAATGATACAGAATATTAGAAAGTATCAAGTGCTATAAAAAGCACAGTTTGGGGCACTGGAGCACTAAACAACACGCTCAGGGTAGGCCTCCCTGGGCAAACAACATCTGAGCAAAGACGTGAACTTTCTTTTATAAGCCATGCCTCTGCACCCTGTTTCCTTTGTCTGGAATGTTCTTCCACTGCCTCTACACAAGCCATGACACCAGTTCAGATTTCACCCACCTCTGTAACATTTTTTCCCAGCATTCTCAGACTGTCTCATTCATCTTTTTGAAGCTCTGTTTTGTGCCACTTGCCTTCTACTCATTCTAAGTACGAATGTACGGGACTAGATACACCTTACAGACAATAAGCCCTCAGGGTGGAATTCTTGCCTCAGGTTTGTGAGGCAAGGGCCCAGCAGGGCTTTGTACACAGCACATGACCAAAGAGTGTCCACTGACTCAATGGATGAGCAAGGTCTTTGGGGCTGGCTCCAGAAACTTGCTCTGGAGCTCCAAGACAAGGGGAAATTGATGAAAGCGATCTGACTGGAATGCCAGCTCCCAACAGCTAGCAGCTCACCTGTTTGATGATGTAAGTTAGCTCTTCGATTTCCACTGCTTTATCATCGAAGAGGGACTTGCGCTTTGCCACTGTAGAGACAAATGAGGCCAGGACGGGTGAGGTCAAAGACAAGGCTCAGGGAGTCCGGTTCCTTAGAGCTCTTTCGTTCACTGCCCCATCTCTGAAAGACCCCAAGAACTCACAGATCGTCAGCTTCTCCAGCTTGGCAAATGTGTTGCTGAGGTCTTTCCCGATGCGCCTGGAAGCAAGCATTAGTGAGGGCACTAGGAGAAAGAGCAGGACAGGACCTATTCCTATTCCCACATTAGCTCCCTCACAGCCAAGGCCACCAAAGGCAAGCCAACTCCTTCCCAGACACCGCACCACCCCACCACGTAACTTCTCTCAACTTACTTGGCCATGAGGGTAAATTCACTACGCTGCCGGACAGCACGCAGAGCCGGCTTGTTTGTCTGGATTCCATTCTGAAAAGCAACATCAAGAGCTGAAGCTTTAGTTCCCCCTCCCCATTTCCAGCTTTCGCTATTCCTCAGGTGCCCACTAAATTCTCTCTAGCTCTTGTACCGGACAGTCTAATCTTGTCAGTAGTTGTCACGCAGAGCTCAGATTTGAGCACAGGTGGACCCAGGTTCAAATCTCGACTCCACCACTTACTAGCTAGAGGGGTTGGGGCAAGTGACATGCACCATTCTGAATATCTATTTCCTCTCGTATAAAATGCAGTTGCTGGAATCAAGTAGCATCAGGGCTATAAAGTACTTTAGTCATATACCTGGTACGTTATAAGAACTAAATAAACGACAGGCACTGTTAATATTCTGTTTCTCCAGTCAGGAAATCAAAGAGGATAACTGGAAAGCTCTTGGTGATCATACAGAAGAGCAGTAAAAAGCTTTAAAATTACAGTCACTCAGGGCCCACTTTGATTCAGAAAGTCTGGACTGAAACCAGGGAATCTAATTTTTTAAAAAGCACTGCAAAGGAATTTCGACAAAAATTACTTATCAGGAAAACTTCTTTCATTTTACAGATATAAAAACTGAGGTCCCACTAGACTTTCTGGCCCAACATTCTGTGGTCACAGAGCAAACGTATGGTAAGGACTATTCCAGAACCAGTATTCAAAGTGCCTGTCTCTGAGCTAAAGGCTCTTTCTAGAACGTGTTCCTTACCCAAACCAAAAATACTGCGGCCACCTCTCACCCTGAGATATTCCTTGCAAAGTAACAACCCTACCCTCTGGGGGATTTCTCACACAAAAAAAGTCTAGGTCCTTGCCTCCAGAGAGCTGGCCCACCCCATTCCCTGTTGCTTAGTAGATCCTCCAGCCCCCTCCAAGCTCGATCAGCTCTCCATCGCGTCACCCCCAAAATTCAGTCCCTCAACAGTGCTGGAGCACAGCCTCTCCCAGATTTCAGTAAGGCTCGCTCCTGCCTTTCCCACTCCTGGTCCTTACCTGACGGCTCTGCAGGGACTTGCAGGCAGACAGGAACTCCTGGGTCCGATCTCGGCAAGACATGGTGTTGGGAGGGGGAGGGACCAGGGCCGCTGGGGGGGGCAGAGGGGCGATGTCGCTGCTGCTACTGCCAGCAGTTGCAGGGGACAGGACCTGTGTCTTTGAGAGACCCAGGTAGACACCCTGATCCGTGTTCTTAGACCCGTAGCGTTTCCGCGGGATCATTGAGACGCATAACCTCGGACTGTTGTGGAGGGGAGAGTGTCATTCCCTAGGCAGCCTCCTTCCCCATAAATCCTTCCCCCACCCTCCCCCCGCCCCAGCCAGCAAATCCTCGGGTCCCTTCTGCACCTGGCACGGACTTTCGCGCCCAAAGCTACCCGCAGATCCTGGGGCCGGCCCACGGCGAGCAGGGGCCCGCTCTCCCACCCAATCGGTTCCCCCTCCTCAGACTCTTCTTCCAACTTGGCTCCGGCGGCCAGAGCGCGGGCCGGGGGCCTTGAAACAGAGACAGGGCCAAAGGCAGGTCCCGTGGCCCCGAGGCTCCAGCCCGGCCTGTGCAACTGCCCCAGGCCCTAACGGGGTCCTCTCGTATCCGCGGATCCCTTCGACTCCTCAGGGAGAAACGGTGACGGGCCTCCTGAGGAGGACACACTTCGGTGGGCGGAAGGGGGAAAAATCTCTAGGTGTTTATTTGAAACAGGAAGTCCCACCCCCGCCCAAATCCCGCCTTCTGGGGGGACTGCGACCACCGATTAGCTAATGCCGACGTCTTTCTCAACAGGGGCTTTCCTGATTGGACGACGAAGTATTCCCTCAGCCCGAGCCGGGCCGGCAGGACTTGCCCGCTCGCCCCAGGTTCCCTTCCCCCCATCCCGTCGCCGCCCCCGGAAAGCCGCTGCCCAGAGCGGACACGGTGGCCAGACCCCTTCTAGAGCGAGTCCTACCTCCTCTCTGCCGCCTGCCGCCGCCACCACTGCCACAGTCTCCCGGGTGGTCACCGCCTCCTCCCCAAGCGCTAAAGCCGCCGAAACCCGACCAAAGCCTAGAAGCCGCCACGTCACCCACACGTAACTCCACCCCCGGTGACGAGAAGGCGGTGCCGCACCTTTTGGAGCACAGCAACCAGAGAGACACGCCCCCCCACCAAAACGCAAGAGCAAGTCCGTCCTCCCATTGGCTAGGCCGCCTGTGACCCCGCCCCTGAGGAACCAGAGCTGGGGCCCAGGGGGCTGGGCCAGCCTCGGGGGAGGGGCCTTAAAGAGCCCCGGCGGTGTCCAGTGCGCCCAGAGCGGGCAGCGGAGACAAGCAAGATAGGAAAGGTACATGTTAGAAACTTTATTCTCCGGAGGCTGGGGCAGATTGAGAGCAGGTTGGGGTCACCCCTTCTCCGGCTCCTCCAGGATCCCCTCCCGCTTGCTCTGCTGTAACGCATGCTTTTGACTCTGGACTGAGTGCCTCTTGTTTGCACGAGAGCCCCGACGGCTGCACAGGGATAGCCGCCGCCACAGCACGGTGATCAGAACGCTTTCGTTCGACTTGAGAGTCTTTTGGTCCGGCGAGTCCATATCGACCTCTTCGGTGCCTGCGGGGATGACGAGGCCACTGAGCTCTGCTCTACCCTCCCCGGTCCAACCTCCCGGGCGATCCCCTTCGGCGCAGCCCCTTCTCCCGCTTCCTGGGTCCCGCTGGTGTGTCTTGGGTCTCACCTTCGACTTCCTCCGAATCAGCCTCCTTAGCCTGATCATCGGAGGCCTGAAAGTCCTTGTCTTGGCAGCAGCCCATGGTCCCGAGCGGCCCCGAACTCCGTGCCGCCCACGCCAGCCCACCAGGCCCCGCGCCTGGCTTTTGTGACATCAGCTATTCTGCTGCACCAGCGCTGGGAGCAGCCAGTCCTCTTTCCATTCTCCCATCACAAAAGGCTCAGGGTCATGGTGGGTGTTAAACTGTTTATTTACAAAGTGAGCACAGGCTCTTCAGGTGCTGGTGGATCCAGGCCGCTGCTTTTTTCTCCGTCTGGTTTGGAGAGCCCCTTGGGTCTGCTCCAAATCAGGGAGCTTCCGCTTGGCAGCTGCCTCCAAGGAGGCCCAAAGTTCATCTGTCTCTGTGTCTTCTAGGGCCGCCTTTTTGGGCTCTTGAGGCTCTTGGGGCTGATCCTGGTGAGTGGGAGAAAACTTAGGGATCTGGGGCACAGTAACAGAGGCCGGGGGAAGGAGGATCTAGTTGGGAAAGCACTTTCAATTCCTGCTCCCGGACACTATTCCCATCCATGCTCCTATGTGGCCCTTTGCAGTAGCCCTGCCAGGATTATAACTATTAACCCCCCTCAGAGAACCTAAGTAACTTGGCTGACAGGCAGACAGTTCTGGCTGTGTTCCAGCTGTTTCTTTTTTCTCTCCATGGGGAAGTGCTCACATCTGTGCCCTTGCTCCCACATTCCAAGACCCAGCTGCTTACCTCCCAGTCATCCCTGCCTGACAGGAGGAGGCAGTTCAGTTGAGACTTGAGATAAACCTACAAAACCAAGAGGGGCCATAAGGAGCTAGGGACACTGAAACGGAAACGTGGCTTGGGGCACACAAGGCAGCCAGCTCTCACCTTATGCTCTAGACCCCGTGGATTCCGGATCCTGTGCACCCTCAAGACTCTGTCCAAGCCACAGGAGGCTAGTAGGGGCTTTGAAGGGTGGCACTGTAATCCTCGGACACTGCCTGCCAGCCCCTTCAGACAGCCCAGTAGGCGTCCTGGAGGAGAGGGGGAGGCATCAGCACTAGCTGGCCAGCCAACAACCACTGTTTACCGTTTCAATATTTATACCTCAACATAAGGTGGGGACAGGAGTTGTCATTAATATCTCCATTTTACAGGTGGAGGAGCTAATGTCACAGAGAACTGAAGTAATTTGTCCAAGACCCTACAGCTTCTGGTGAACCAGGATTTGAACCCAGGCAATTGGCACCTGAATGAGGGCTCCACCATGCCACTGTACCCCCTCAGAGGGAATCTTGCCCTTCCTCCCGCCTCTTCCCCTCCTGCAAGGCTCCCTAGTCCACTCACCTTGCCGAAGGTCAATTTCTGCCAGCTGCCCATGAGTGTTGCCCACGATCACTGAACTAAGGAGGAGACCAGAGGTGGGTGGGGTCAGCAGGAGCCTCCTAGAGTCCTCTCCGAGCCCCACTCTGTGTCCTCTCAACACTTACTTGCCCCCGGGAGTGAGGGTCATGGCCGTAAGTGGATACTCTCCATAGGTGGCCTCTAGGACTGGCCGACGCTGGGGAGAGGCTGGATCGTAGACACGGACCTGGAGAACACCGAAGCATCACGAGAGCACCCTCACGCCACATACCCGTCCCTGGATTGTCCGTATCTTCACTCCCTCCTTCATACACTGCTTTCTTATGACCCACTCTTAGAGAAACTTTCTCATCTGAAACATACCCCCCTCTTGCTCTGAGTGTCAGGGAAGAGTGGGCAGAGGAGATCTGCTTAGGGTGAGAGGTCCCCCAGGTTGGGGGGGTGGTGACAGCATTTCCAGGGTCCACATGTGTGGGCATTCCACCCCTCCATACTCCCATCTTGCATGAAAAGGCAAGCCAGTCCAATTTTCAGAGAGTACTGAATTTCAGGCAGAGAAATTTAGCCTGAGCAACAGAGGGGAGAGTAAGCCCTCGCAGTGTGTTTTGAACAGCGACATATCCCCAAGATCAGATTTCAGTATGCAGGAGCAAAGGAAATGGGACAAACACAGGGACCCAGTCCTGCCGGGATCTTAGGACTTCAAATGAGGCCAGCTGTAAAGATCTCCAGTCGGGCCCGCCCGCCCTCCCTCCTATAAAGCTGAGCTGAGGGGGCGCCTGGAAGGCTCAATCGGTTGAGCGTCAGACTTTGGCTCAGGTCATGATCTCGCGGTCCTTGAGTTCGAGCCCTGCGTCGGGCTCTGTGCTGACAGCTCGGAGCCTGGAGCCTGCTTCAGATTCTGTGTCTCCCTCTCTCTCTGCCCCTCCCCTGCTCATGCTCTGTCTCTCTCTGTCTCAAAAATAAATGAAAACATTAAACAAACAAACAAACAAACAAACAAACAAAAAGCCAAGGAGCCGAGGATGCAGAGGAGTGGGTCAGGCCTGGGTCCCAAAGCAAATCAGAGGCTGCATCAAGACCAGAACCCAGTTCCCCTGACACCCAACCCAGTGTCCTCTCATGACACCTGGACCGTGGGATTCTACTGTGAAAGAAGCAGAATTCTCCCTTCTTCTCTCCTCCTTTCCACATTGGAAGCGAAGGAAGGGTCACAGTTCAGAAAACTCATCCTACAATGTACCAGAAGGTCTCTGGCTCAGCCATGGGGCTGGGATGGTCGGGGGCCGGAGAGCGGGGTGGGGAATGCTCCCTCTGGGAGCTCAGAGACAGAGGATGAAGGTCGGCCTGTGCCACCAGGCAGGTTGTTTCGTTGTTTCTCTAGGAGGCTGCTTAAGCCCCGGAGGAGGTAGAGGTGGGGCAGTACCTCACCTGATGGTACCCTGTGCAGGTGACAAGCTTCTGAGATTCAGGAAGGAACTGTATATCTTGATCCCAGATGGGAACCCGCAGGTCGAGCCAGTCGTTCCGTACCTGGTGGGGTGGATAGAGGGGGGGACAGGTTGCAGGAGGGCTCATAGGCCCTGTCCTTCAGCTCTTCATCATCATCCCCCAACTCAGTGGCCTCAGCCTCCTTGAACCTCAGCCCCAGCCCCTCCCACCACTGTCACTCACATTCTTGGCCCTGAACACAGGCTCCTCCGACCCCTGTAGGTCCCACACCTTCAAAGCATTCTCTTTCCCACCCGTGGCAACCACGTGCGGGCGTGCTGGGTCTTGGCGCATCCTGCACACCCCAGGGCCCACACTCAGCTCCAGGAGCTGAAAGAGACAGGAGATGAGAGTCAGTTCCGGAGTCCTTAATCCTATTCCCCCATGGGAATGCAAGCTGGTGCAGCCACTCTGGAAAACAGTACGGAGGTTCCTCAAAAAACTAAAATTAGAACTCCCCTATGACCCAGCAATTGCACGACTAGGTATTTATCCAAGGGATACAGGTGGGCTGTTTTGAAGGGGCACATGCATCCCCATGTTTATAGCAGCACTATCAACAATAGCCAAGGTATGGAAAGAGCCCAAATGTCCATCGATGGATGAACGGGTAAAGAAGATGTGGTATAGATAGATAGATACAATGGAGTATTACTCGGCAATCAAAAAGAATGAAATCTTGCCGTTGGCAACGACGTGGATGGAACTGGAGGGTATTATGCTAAGTGAAATTAGTCAAAGAGAAATATCATATGACTTCACTCATATGAGGACTTTAAGAGACAAAACAGATGAACATCAGGGAAGGGAAACAAAAATAATATAAAAGCAGGGAGGGGGACAAAACAGAAGAGACTCATAAATATGGAGAACAAACTGAGGGTTACTGGAGGGGTTGTGGGAGGCGGGGATGGGCTAACTGGGTCAGGGGCACTAAGGAATCTACTCCTGAAATCATTGTTGCACTATATGCTAACTAATTTGGATGTAAATTAAAAAACAACAACAACAACAAAACAAAACAAAGAAACAAACAAACAAAAAACCCTCTTCCCCCAAAGCCCTCCCTCGGTTCCTACCCGGGCCCTCATCTTCCCCATCACTGGCAGGGCAGGGGAGCCTTACTGGGTCAGAGGATGCTTCCTTGTCATTGTTACGCCAGACCCGGACAATCCCAGAATCCACACATGTGATGAGGGTGCTGTGGGCAGAGGGAGGTTAGAGTAAACAACAACAACAAAAAGTAAGTAAGTATGAATTTCAAGTGTTCTCTGGGCCCTAGTCAACCCACCCCCAGATTCACATTAACTAGACTCCCTCCTCCCATGTTTGTTATTTAATATCCTCAACGGGGGATGGTTTCCCAGTTTTGTAAGTGAGGAAACTCAAGCTCTGAGAAGTGTAAAAAGATTTGCCCACACAGCTCTAAATGTCAGAACCAGAGCTGGAAAGTCAAGCGTGTGATACTCCAAAGCAGAGTGCCTTTGCTATTATCTGGGGGCAGCCGGCCCTGCCGGTTTTTCTGAACCTTGGGTGGGTCACCAGGGGTCAGGATCAGTAGCTCTGAAAGAGCTGAAGTGGGACTGGTCTCACGTTCGGGTCTGGCCAAAGTCAAACACTAGCTTCTTCTCTCAAGTTCCCTGTTTGGCATTCCAGACACTAAATGTCAATCTCTCCCTAAAACACACACCCCCTCCCCAAGCAAGCCTCCCCCAGGATCTGTGTAAAGCCCGAGCCTATGTTCTTTTTCACATCTGCCCACCCTCCCCGCCTCGGTTCAGGCTGTGGCGGTGCTTGCCTGGGCTTTGGCAAGAGGTTCTCAACCACTCTTTCCAACCCATTCTCCACACCCCTCCTCGCTCAAAACCACCTGCAAAATCGTAAGGGCAAATCTCTCAGTCTGACGCTGAAAGGCCTTCACATTTAATCACTACCTACCTTGCCCATCTTGTACTAAAACGCGCCCTCGGTTTCCACCCCCAAATGCTGTTTACCTTGCCTGAAATTACCATGTAGCCTGACACCAATCCTTGGCCTCAGCCCAGGCAGCAGTCTCTTTCTGAAACGCGCTTACTCCTTTCTCCTCCTGTCAAAATTCTACCCATCCTTCATGGCTCAGTTCAAGTGACTCACCTAGGCACTTCGAAGACAGGCACTTCGACTAGTCAGTTTTCAGAACACCACCAAACCCACACAGCCTGTTCACAGCCTTCTCCCTCTTTGGAAGAAAGCTACCCCCCAGTTACTTAACCACTAACACTTTCCTATCCTTTCCTTTGGGAACTTCACCGTATCGTTGGTGGTTGTTAGTCTCCATTTTCAAACATACTCTAAACTATTCAGTGACCTGCTCAGGGTCATCCAAAAAGCTATGGAGCCAGGAAAAATACCCTTGATGCAAACTCATGAAGGCAGGTACTGCACGTGTCTGGTTTGCCTGCAGCCTTTGCATTTCGTCCAATGCCTATTAATAAGCAGGCGTTCAATAGCACTCAGCCCAGGCTGGGGTCCCTAAGGGTTGATTGCCCAATATTCGGCAGTCCCGCGAGAGCCTCCACGCTGTCCCTACGACCTGAGCGTTCAGCGAGGGGCTCGGTCTTACCCGTCGACCTGGGCGAGGCCTCGGAACGTGCCCTCCCCGCCGGGGCAGTGCTTGTGGCCCTGGAATCTGCCCTCCTCGGTGCTGAAGTACCTCACTGTTTTGTCGGCGCAACCCATCAGGATCTGCGGGCAGAGGAGGGCAGGATGGCGACCAGGGCGAGGCTGCCGCACCGTAGATCCCCCCAGCTCGGGACCGACCAGCGGCCGCTCACCTGAGTCTCGCCGCCCGCGCCCCAGCACAGGGCGCTCACCGCCTCCTCGCGCCGCGGCTGTCCTGCCGCCGTGAAGTTCGCCGCCTGTTTGCGCTGAAGGTTCACCCCTGCGGGAGGCGGGCGTCAGTCGCGCCGGGGTCGCGAGCGAGGGACACCCCCCCACACACACTTCCCGATGCTGGGCCCGGCCACCCACCTTTCAGGATCCCGGTCTCGGTGCCCACCCACACATGGTTCCAGCGTGCCCCAGCAGCCGCCATAACGGAACCCAGCAGCCCACGGCTCGCACTTCCGGCGCAGCGTTGCGTCACCAGCGCGCCGCGTTTGATCCGGATGAACGCCCTCTCTTGCCGTTTAAAAAGCCGGAAGAAGGGCGCTTGGGTGGCTGGGTGGAAGGAGTTCGTGACTTTTGATCTCCGTATCGTAAGTTCTAAAGCCCCACGATGGGTGTAGCGATCACTTAAATAAATACACACTTAAAATAATAAAAAAGAGAAGAGTAAAGATCCCCTGGTCCCCTGCCTTCTGCAGCTGGTTTTGCTTTACGAACTCTGGGGGTGCTGGTGGAGATCTGGAGAGTAACTTGACAGTTGTGTACTTGGAGTGGAAGGCGCCTCCCTGCTCCAAAGCATCGTGTAATATGTTTTCTGTACAAGACAAGAAAGACGAGCACACTTGAGAAAAAAAAAAAAAAAAATCACTGAGGCGCATGGCTTCAACCTCGAGCGTAAAAGCCACAAACCGACGAAGGATGGGGAAAATGAAACCGATGATCTTAAAATAGAAACCTAGAAAGTGGAGGTAGCTGCGTCGTTTTTATTTCCTCGCATTGAGGTTTGGTGATAGTAAAAAACATCAGCTCCAACTGAGAATAAAACTGCAAAATTAACAGTATTTCTCCCAGGTACAAGCTGCTGCTGCATAAATGTAACCACCCTTCCTGTGAATGACTACAATTTTATTACAGAGATTTTGTTCTCTGAGAGTAGAGTACCAGAAATTTGCCCGTTTAAAATTTTATCAGTAAGAAATAAAGCATCGCACTCTTGCCTGCACAAGGCCTCACAGAGAAGCAGCCACGATTTCCAGCTCAGCTGCAGAGCTGTGAATGAGGGTTCTGAGCACAACATTCCACACTTATGCAAACGTTGTTACCAAGGTAACAAGCACGATGTCTACTTCACGGGATACACTGGACATTGACCCCTCTGTCTCCCCTCCACAGTCCTAGTTTGTATTGAGCCTATTACATTAAATCAAATCTAAACTCCACCTTAACCTTAAAAGTCTTTCTTTAAATTACTCCTTTATTTTGCGAGACGTCCTCTTTGTTGGTGGGCGGTTTCCTCTCATTGTAAACTCGGGGGTACACCTGGGGTTTAGGCTAGGCTGGGCCGATCCCCCGGGAGTTCCCCTTTATAATCCAGGATAAAACAAACCTGCAAATCGTTTTTGAACCCTTTAAAGAAAGCATTTTCTGAAAGTGCAAGAGAAAAAAAGTTGCTACTCTAGCTCCCAGACCGAGAAAGTTATTTACCAAATAGAAACTGCCTTGGGGAGAAGTACTGAGCAATGTATTATTCTTATTAATGTTGGTACACTTCTATCTGACAAAGAGCACCGCCGGCGGAAAAGACACAGAACCCGGAAAAGACTCCAATTTCTGAGTTATCAGCGCGGAGCCCATTGGGAGGGCAGAGAGGGAAGGGAACGCGCGCGCGGCGCGAGCGAGTTCACAAATCAGGGAAGTCATAACTTGGGTTAAAGCCACCTACCAACAAACCTACTTAACAGCCCCATTAGCTTAGCAGGCTTAAGAAAAACCACCACTCCCCTTAAAATGAGTTAAGATGCTTTTAAAAGCAATGTTCTTTTTTTTGAAACCATCATTGTTCCCCCAGAAGGGGGTGCACCGTTCCTGGAAGTACTGCAATACCAGGTCGATGCGTGGAGTGGACGGAGCAAGCTCCTATTCCATCTCCTAATTCCAAAAATCCATTTAATATATTGTCCTCGGATAGAGGACGTATCAGATATTAAACTGATAAGAACAGATACTACACTTGATCTTAGCCAAAAGGCCGAGAAGCGATACTGCTGCAACCGGCTCCTGGCAACCCTTACCCTTACTATAGCTTTTACGGTTGTGGCGATTTTTATGACATAATGATTAGATTACCTTGAAATATGTAATACTTCTTAAATTCAACGTCTCATTATCCTTCCTTTATAATAATAGCTATATATTTTTTTAAAAAGATCTTAAATAGTGGTCTTTGCTGCATTGCCTGCCTGTACTCCCTCCGCGCGTTTTACATAACCCCGCCCTGCCAATGATTTTCTTTCTTGGGATTGGTCCACATACAAGTCTGGGTTTCAATATGAGCGTGGTCTCTTTGCCTCCCAGACTCAGGCTTGTCTCCCCGCCGGCAGGCCGCGCGGCGCTCTCGGTGAGTGGGTGGAAGGCGTTTCGGTAGGTTGGTGGCGCCCTTCCCCGGGACGTTTGTTTATCGATCCCAAGTACAGGCTTCGGAGTCCGAAGAACTGGATTGGGATCCCTGCTCGCCAGTTCCTGACTTGATGACATAAGGCCGGTTGCTTGGAATCTTTTTCTGTTAACTGGGGACTAATAACGCGCTTATACGGCGGTAGTGAGAACCCAGTTGAGGTTGGGCTTTAGGGCTGCATTCCCCTCTCATTCTAGGGCTCCCCTCCCTTCCGCGCCTCCTCCTTGACTGTACCATCCACCCCAAACCACTTAAATCTTGCCGTTTACGACGCATCGTCCACCGTGCGCCCTTCACACAAGGGAAGAGATGCCCGGAGAAAGGCGTTTTGGGGGGTCTCGATTCCTAAACCCAGGTGGGAGAGACAGGCTGAGGCCAGTGTAGATAAAATGTAAACGAAGCCGTTCTTTTGTAGGCTCAAGGCGAAGTCCGGCTGTATGAAAAGGATTGATGATCAGGCCGGAGCTGAGAAAGGACTTGAGGTCCCGTTTCCTTGGAAAGTATATTAATATAAATGTGGAGCGTTTTTTGTTTTGTTTTGTTTTTTTTTTTTTTTTAATGTGGAACGTTCTGTTGGAAATCTCCTTCACTGAAATTCTACGCCCGGGCTGGAAATAGAGGCCGTTGTCTCTGTGTCAGGGTGACTAGGTGGGACCTTCTGTTCTCACTGACAGGCTTTCAACTAGCAAAATTTCTATAATCTATGATTTTAGAGAGCAAGGCTCTCAGCATTGTGTCCCTGATGCTAATAAACAGGCAGTTTGTAAAGGTTCCCATATGTAAATCCAGAGCCTCCAGGGAGGGCTGAATTAAGTAGGTGTGGCGGGTAGAATACTGCCCCCAAATACTCCCGTGCTAATTCTCAGAACCTCTCAATGTGTTACCTTACATGGCAAAAGGTACTTTGCAGATGTGGTTAAATTAAGAGTTGGGGGAAGGAGAGTTTATCTGGGATTATCTAGTGGGTGCCTGTAATCACAAAGGTCCTCATCAGGGTCAGAGGGGGGCAGGACCAGCGTCAGAGTGATGGAGCACTTATAAGGTGGATGAGCCATTGCTAGCTTTGAAGATGGAAGGAGGTCATCAGATGGATGTGGGCAGCCTCTAGGAGCTGGAAAAGGCAAGGAAACAGATTCTCTGTCTTAGAGCCTCCAGAACGGAATGCAGTCCTGCGGACCCAGCTTGATTTTAGCCCACTGAGACCTGTTTTGGATATCTGACCTCCAGGACTGTAAGATAATAAGTTGTTATGTTTTAAGCCACTGAGTTTGTGGTAATTGGTTTCAACAGCAATAAAAACCAATACAGGGGCAAAAGCAACGTTCAGTTTCTTTCAATCTGAACCTTCTCCAAATTCTACTGGACCCAACTTCGGGCGAGGCCACAGCCCCCTAGCTGAGCGGGCTTCACCTTCTGCCCCAGGCTATGTACAGCCAAGCATCCCAGAACACAGATCTGGTGGGCCGTGCTTCCTCAGGTGGGTCTGCAGTCAGCAGCAGCCCTGTTCCTCTGAAGCCAAGGCAAGTGGGGAGTGGCTCCTTCACCCTCAGTCCGCTGTTACCCTGCCCCTTTCTATACAAGTATGGGAGACTGACAGTGCAGGCACCATAAGAACTTGGAAATTAACCTTTGCTCCTGGGAGGCCATGTGTCCATTTGTTTATGCTTATGGAGCACATGCTCTACAATGATAAAATCAGACAGGACCTTTGGCTTCGTGAGTTCATGGTCTACTGGGGAAAACTGGGAGAAGCCTCCTGTGATTCTCCAGGCAAGAGCTGGAGGGGATTGGGGCAGGGTGGCTGTGATGGCAGAGGTGGAGGGAAGTGGAGGGGATCACAGAGAATCACTGGCTTTGATGACAGGCAAAGTGAGGCCAAGGGAAGAGTATTCTTTCCGTGTGCATACATTTTAAATTTGATGTCTTGGGGGCACCTGTGTGGCTCAGTTGGTTAAGCTTCTGACTTCTGCTCAGGTCATGATCTTGCCGTTTGTGGGTTCGAGTCCCGCATTGGGCTCTGTGCTGACAGCTCAGAGCCTGAGCCTGTTTCGGATTCTGCGTCTCCCTTTCTCTCTGCCCCTCCCTTGCTTGCATTCTGTCTCTCAAAAATAAACATTGAAATAATAATAAAATAAATTTGATGTTTTGTTTTCACAAAACTGACACACTATACATTGTTACATGTTGAAAGGCTTATAACATCCCCCCCCCCCCATAAAATGTTTTACTGGTACTTTTCTTGTTGTTTATAAATTGATTAAACAATTTTAGACTTTGTGTGTGTGTGTGTGTGTGTGTGTGTGTGTGTGTGTGTGTTCTTAAGAAATGGTATAAACTTGGGGCGCCTGGGTGGCTCAGTCGGTTGAGCGTCTGACTTCAGCTCAGGTCACGATCTCGCGGTCCGTGAGTTCGAGCCCCGCGTCAGGCTCTGGGCTGATGGCTCAGAGTCTGGAGCCTGCTTCCGATTCTGTGTCTCCCTCTCTCTCTGCCCCTCCCCCGTTCATACTCTGTCTCTCTCTGTCTCAAAAATAAATAAATGTTAAAAAAATATTAAAAAAAAAGAAATGGTATAAACTTAAAAATCAGCACAATATAGAGCATGTCAAAGAACAGCCTAGTCAGTTTGAAGATTTTGATTTTAATGTAACTGCATCTCCCAACCCTTCTGAGAATCTGTTGAAGCTTTCCTCAAATGAGTTGCCTTACACACGTCTTGCATACCATTTCCTGGGGGGATTCTTTAGGGCCCCCTA